TGTCCCTCAGCCATGCCAGCAGCTGAGAAGAGTTCGGCTCCAGGAAGGGTTAAAATCCTTGTCCCTGCCCCAGTGGTCTCCGGCCAGGTAGACACCGGCAGGTGTCCCCTTGGCACGCTGCGGAGAGGGCTCCCTGGGGCATCGCTGGCACTACGAGCTCCTTGGTTTGTTCCCCCGTCCTGCTGTCGGCTCCTCCAGCCCCTCTCCCTGCCTGCGTCTGTCCGGGCTTTATTTGCGCTTGGGAAATCCTGGCCACCGTTTTCAGATGCTGTTGCGCGTTCTCCGTGGGAGGGAGGACAACAGTTTAATCCTCCTGGCTCATGTTGTGCCCTGGACCTGCTGCTTGGAGAAAGAGAGCACCGTGGAGCATCATTCCGTGTCAAGTGGAAATATTATCAGCTCTGAGCGTGGTACAAGGGGAGAGCAATGCATATCAGATGAAGCTCCGAGGACATTCTCTCCAACGCCGCATTTGTTAAAACTATTAGAAATTCATCAGTGCTTTTTTATTAATTACATGAGGCACAGCATCGCCTAGCGGCTGAAGCAGAGGAGGACGTTCAGGGTCCTTCCAATCTGACCACCGAGCTGGAGGGCAGGAGTGTGGGATTTAGGAACAGGAGCTGTAAGTGGGAGGTAGAAGGCTGATTCCCATGTCCCATTTTCTACTTCTTCTATCCCGTGGCAGAGAGTAAATGAGGCACCCAGGGCATCAGCTTCATTACTGCAGGGCAGAAGGGCTTGATCAGGGAATGCCTGGGGCACAGATCGATTCCTTTCAGCAGAGCTACAGTTGTCAGACACACTGCTGATGCTGTGTAGTAAGGAGGGTGTGACAGCATGGACTGACACAGCCAGAGACTCCAGAGGACAAACAACACCATTACAGCATATGCTGTGATGCCACTTTCATGTTCAGACAGTGCCAGGCCACACAAAAACGCTTCTGCCTCTAAAAGGAAGTATAAATCAGAATCTGAAGGTCCCTCATCTCTGCAGGAGAACAGCTTTCTGGGGAGCAGCAGGCTGGCTCCTCTGGGGCAACATCAGTTCTGCTCTTCCAAGGCTCCTGGACCACTTCATCTTTTCACAGAGGCTGCATGGGAAGTAGTAAGCTGCTGGCAGTGTCATTTATGCCTTCTGGCAGATTTCTGCAGCAGAGGGTGAAGTTCTAGACAAAGACCCTTATGACCCCAGCACCCCCGTGGGTCTCAAGTGCTAAAATCTGCTGTATAGACTGCAGTGAGGAAAAACCACAGCTTACTTCCCAGGAGCATCATTCCCTGTCCTGCACGTGGAAACACATGAATAAAGAAGGACTTCAGGCTCCCACGCTGTCCTTGTGCTGTGCAGGCTCTTCAAATAGGCTCCAAGCAAAAAAAGAGGAGGGCAAATGTGGATGTGTGGCTTGTAACATGGGCTTTAGAGACACCTACAGAGGACCCCAATGAAGAGTAGACTGGTGCACTGAAGCCTCACTGCAGCAGTTTGTGTAATTCACAGCTTTGCTGTGATGACAGGGGGGGGGGGGAAAGTGTCACTTAATTTTAGTTCAGGTATTTCCAGGCACCTATACTGCTTTTATTTCTGTATATTTTCTCAGCACCACAGCAGTGTCAGCGAATATCTGGGCTTCCTAAATAAAGCTGAGACTTACAAAATGGTTCAAGGGATGCAGAAGACAGAGGAGGTTCCTGGAGTCTTTAAAGAAAAGCCATTACAGCAAATTTATTCACAGAAGAAAGTTACTGATGAAGGGAAATGAGCCCTCAGGTCTGGGGACCTCTGCAAGTAGGCAGGACCCACTGTGAAGGCTTCTGGAGGGCAGAAATCAGGCTGGCATTGACATGGGGAAACAAGAAGAAGTAATGTAGGAGCAGGGACATGCTTGCTGTCCCACAGAACACAATGTGCTTCTAGCAGGCTGTGAGTTAGTTACAACGTGTCTGACCTGGTTTTGAGAAGGGGGAGAGGTTTGCCCTGCTCTTGTTTCCCTTGCCACATCCGTTGTGATCACCACAGAGCTGAGGCTGGGAGATGCCATCCCCTGCCTGGCTGGGATTAGCCTGCAGACAGCCTCAGAATAGCCCCAGCCTACACACTGGCTGCTAATATTCTCTCTGCAAAGGAAGGAAACCAAAACAAGCAAAAGCAGCTGGAAAGATGATCCTGCAAGCTACCTCCCAGGAAAAAGGATAGACAGCCTGCTGGTTTTGCTGCAAATGGTGCTGTTTTAATTACACTGCACAAGGTTGCTGAATTCTCTGAAGAAGCAACGTGTTCTAGCAAACAAGCCTTGGCAAGGAACGCCCTGGAGACCCCACAAGCTGACAGACAGAGCAAGGGGAAGCTGCAAGAGCCAAGTGAGAACCACAGCAAGACAAACCAATGCTGCTTTGAGCTAGGTCCCCAACTCCTGGGGGCAGCACCCAGGATTTTGTCTGTCATGGACAGAGGGCTGTTAGTGCCTCTCTGGGCCAGCACCTATCAGTGACCTGAGAGCAGTGTCAGATACTTTTGCACAGGCACATGGCCACCCTGCCTTCCCCAAAGCTGCCTTTGACTTGCCAGGTCTAGCAAGTCGGGTTAATCATTACTGATCATTTTGAAGGTCTTCAGGTTCTTTGCCCATGTTCGTGCTTTTTTTGTTTTTCCACTGGAGTGCCAAAGGCATTACTGCACATGCTGTCGTGCTCACCCACCCACTGAACCTGCCTCTGAGAGCTGGGACAGGCAGCCCTCTGCACTTCATCCTTCCCACCTGCAGCAGGGCTGTGGCAAATGCACGTCCTGTGGCACAGATGATGTTTCTTTGGAACCATCTGGTCACTGTGTAGCTCCATGAACAGCTCTAGCTGCCCACTTTCAGCTGCAGCCTGTGCTGCAGCACCTGTGGCAGCACCCACGTGAGACCCTCAGCTGCACGATGTGTTGGTTGGTGGCCAGCAGCAGGTGGATGTGTGTACACAGGAGCTGCCACACAAGCTCTGGCACCTGCTCTCCTCCAGCCCTCCAAATGGGATGCAATGATAACATTTTTTCCTGCATTTGGCCTAGAGTGTGACATGTTTCTGCTCTGTGAGACAGCCTGCATTCCCCTGCCAGCACCAGCCTGCCAGAGCTCAGCTCCTGGCTCTGTTGTTACAGCTGGAATGAATTTGGCTCCTGTTCATCCCATGGCTGGGATGCAGCTATATTTGGCTTGTCTCTGGTCACACAGGTACAGCTGAGATAAGAGTTTGTCTTGGCTTATTTTAAGTGCATAGGTTGTTTGGTTGTGTTTTAAGTGGAAAACTGAAAACAGGAAAACTGTTTGAAAAATTAAATGGGCATGAGGTCTGCACACAGCTGCTCCTTGGGCAAGGGGATCAAAGTGGAGGGTACAGGACTAGCAGAGCATCTGGCCCTAAGAGAAGGGTTTTGTGAACACTGGGATCATGTTCTGCACCCTGTGTCTTTGATCATTCAGCTGTGGAAATGTAGCTGCAAAACTACAGTGCAGTCTGTTCTCATTCACTCATGCATACACATATTGGAAGCCAAGTAGGGCTGAAAGGCAAAGACTCTTGGAAGTATCTGTGGGGTACTGTAGGTGTGACACAGAAGAAGAAAACATATCCCCACATCTCTCCTTTGGACCTTCTGCCTTCAAGCATCGTTTAGGCTCTGGCATGGCTCAGTAGATTTCCTCTGAGACACTTCTTGGGCCTTGTTCCTTACTCACAGATGTGGTACCTGGGGTGGTGCGTTTGGGTTTGCACATTATGAGAGCAGAGGCTGGAGCTTCTCAGAGCTGACATCTCTCTCTGATTTCAGGAATTGTCCTTCAACTTTTAAAAGAAAGAAGGAGAAGCAAGGTAAGGATTTGTGAAAATGCTTCAGTGGGCAAAAGAAGCAGAGTGACTGAGCCCCTGGTTAGCTGACATTAGTAAGTGCTGACTGTGAATTGGATCTGTGAGGCTGAAGTATCCTCCTGTACTCCTTTGCTCCTAACCTTCTTCAAGAGGAGTTTGGTAGAAGCAAGAGGCAAGATTTCTTTAAAACTTAAAGCAAGGTGTGTGATGTGTCATGGGACTTGGCAAGGGGTGCAGGGAAGGGACTTTAGCAGTATCTTTAAAATACCAGAGTCTCACATCAAAAGACGTGAGTACTCTTGGGTGGCAGCACAGCAGAAGCTGCATCAGACTCCTGTAAGAGCTGCAAACATCCCTCTGACATCAGTCCCTGAGAATAAAGAGCATTTCCCAAGCAGCCCAGTTGTGTCGTGCAGCCTTTGGACCATGCTGGGCAAAATATTTTTGCCAGGCAGCAAAGGAAATAACAAAGTTAAAACTGCATCTGACTTCTCCAAGGGCTGACAAGGAAGCTCTCTGTGCTGTGTCTGTCCTGCTCAGTTCTGCCAAGAACATTGTGGTCCATAGCATGTTGTCATCCTGGGAAACCTTTTTTTCCAAAGAAACAAGCCCAGGCTTTCTTCTTGGAGGCAGGCATTAGGGTTGAGGGTGTCAAATGAAATGGAAATTTGATTTGTGTCCAGTAGGAACTGCCCATTTCTGCATTCAAAGGTGGAACAATTAACAGTTGTGTTAAACTGATAGGTGATGTTTCTTTTTCAGGAACTAATGTGAGACAGGAAAGCCAACAGCATCAGCCTGGCAGGAAGGTAAGCAGCTTCCCAGAGCTGTTTTCCTGGCTGTATATTGAGAAGACAGCGCTGGCCACCTCTTCCTATGCTAGATGTGTTGGGAGGACAAGGGCAGCTTCCTCAGAGCCATGAATCATCTCATCCTGTAGAGGCTTTAATGGCTGTGGGCACAACGTGCATTGCTGCGCAATGATGCAGGCCCATTTTCTTCCCCCTAAAGTGCAGTGGAAGCCATAGGATGAAATCTTTCTCTGAGCCTGAGGTGTCAGAGGGCCGGGTGGTGCTGGGGTCTGTGTGCAGGGTGTCTCTGCCTGCTCTGGGGAGGGCGTGTGGAGCAGCAGCCCAGGGGGCTGACCTTCCAGAGCTCTTTCCACAGGCTCCAACGTATGAAGATGTTCCGGAGTTTCCTGTCTGTGCCCCTGTGAGTAAACCCAGGAGTATGAAGCAGGATGACAGCATTCATTACGCAGACATCCAGGTGTTCACCAAGGTCCGGGAGCGCTCTGCAGCAGAGGTGAAGAACCTACAAATGCAGAATGCCACAGAGTATGCCACCCTCAACTTCCCCCGGCCCAGGCTGAAATATGACAGCAAGAATGGGACCCTGGTATAAAAGTCTTGATGGCCCCCTCCTCCTTCAGCAGCATAAAGGATTTCACAGACTTAGAGATGCTGTAGACACAAGCTAACCTCCTGGACACATCGAGTCTCTTGGAGGAAGTGCACAAAGGCTGTGTCTTCCTCCTACATTTCTCTACAGAGGACACAGACATATTTATTCTCACATAATGAGTAGTTTCCTATCAGATTCTTCTGACAAAAACCACCTCTTCCCCTTGGAAGAGTTGCTTCTGAAGCTGGCAACCCATCTCCTCTCAGCACTGTGAGAAGATAGAGCTGCTCCTTGGCTGATGAAGGCTAAAACCACAGCTCAGAGCTGCAGTGACAAAGTTCCTGCTGTGGCACAGGACCAGCCAAGTGCTGCTCTGCACGTTTGGGAACATGGCATACAGGAGCCAGCACTGGGACGATGTTGCCACAGGGGTTTGTGTGGGTGTTAAGAAAATTCTGCAATGTACAGAAAGATCTGTGGATGGTACTGTGGAGAAATGGCCTGAAACCTTTAAGGGTATCTGCTGCAATATGCTCCTCCAACACCTGCCACAGTAACTGCAGTCATGCACTACATGCATCCCCTTTTCTCAGAGAGCAGTGTTCTACAACCATGCACAGCAACTAAAACCAAGGCCAGAGATGCAGAATTAACTGAGGGGTACAGAACAATTTATTTCACTTGAGGGTTCTATAGGTATGCATCCTTACCCCAACATGCACAGAAGGGAGTAGTGAGCGATCAGCTCTAGCCAGAAATTAATAAAGGAAAATTCACAATTTAACTGTGAGGCAGCCTTTTAAAACCCACTGACTATATTTAGGGCAGTTATTCAGTCCTTAAGAGTACAGCAACTGTCTGCATGCCTGAGATACTGGCAATTAATCTTGGTCAGCTTTAGAGAGGGCTTTGGACTTCTCCAATTTTTCTTATTTTGTACTGTCAGCCTTATTTATAAAAGCCAGTAACACAGACCATATACCATGTTGTGTTTTCACAGAATCACAGAATGTTAAGTGTTGGAAGGGACCTCGAAAAATCATCTAGTCCACCCCCTGCCAGAGCAGGACCACCTAGAGCAGGTCACAAAGTTAGTTTTCTGCTAACCCTCCCAGATATGCCTTGGAGAATTTGGTTATGGAATTGAAATAGTGTTAGTAGTACAGTGTAGCAGTTGTCCAAAAGGCTTCTAGCACTGGACTGAATTTGGCAGTTGCAGCATTGGCAGTTGAGCAGGGCTCCCAAGCAGTATCTTCAGGCACTCAATCAATGCATAGCACATTCTGCTCATAAATAATGGTCTGTCTAGCTAAATGCAGATTGTGGGACAAGCTGTTTATTGCCAGTGTTGGAAAATGGACAGCCTGATACATTTTATAAACATACACAGTTTTGCATATTATGGTTCAGGTAAATGTGAAAAGGGTGAAGGAGTTCCTGCTCTTTACAGCAAATAAAGCTGGGATGGGCAGTGCTTGCTAAGATGGAAGTGTTTTGAGGACCAATCCTAGACTTTTTCTACCTTTTTCCCATGCTATCCAGTAGATCTCAGCACAGCTCTTGTTAGGCCAGAGTAACATTTGCAGGAGAAGGCCCCTTTTCTGTAATGGATATAGGATATTTTTCTACCTGAAAAGGTTTGTGCTATCCAGCTGACCTCAGTGGGGCTATTGTAAGGTTTGCAGTAGAAGGCCCTTCATTTATAGTGGATACAGGACTATGTTACTGGAAGGGCTCATTCTTTTGAGTGCCTCTTTCTGCTCCACCAGGTTAATTTCTGTACTTTGTGCTCAGCATGAAAACCTGTCCTTTGGACTGAGGAGGATTGAATGGGCACAGGATTTACTTAGAAGAGTGTGTCAGGGAGCCATGAGACACTCTAGCACTTAGTTCTGCTAGCCCAGCTGAGATGGGCTGCCAAACCTTGTTCATGCTGGCAGCAGTTATCTACCTCCTTGCACTGAATCATTGGTACAAGACCTAAAAGGGACACTAGCTTCCATTCTAGTCAAGCCCTCCACATCACAGGAAGAAATTGGATTTTTTAGATACATTATTAAATATGGACTATAGTTTGGGAGATGGGAGGTTTTCTAGAAGGTGTAGACTCCAAAAGGTCATTTTTAAAACCAATTTAAGTGAAACAGCCTTTATTGAAGGAGCACACAGTGCGTGGTACTGAAATTTCTCCTGGGGCTGGGGACAGCAAGCTGCACTGACACTAGCAGGTCAAGCTCGTGGGCCCAGACTGGTGTGAATTTTGCACATCCATCAAGTTAAACCAGTTTTGCTGTGGATGTAAGTAGGACTGGGTTTGGCTCAGAGGAATTTGCTTTCACCTGGTCACTTCGTCCTGTTGATCAGCCCTTTTGTGTTCTGAAGCAATGGGAGCTGGGGTAGAAACTATCCTTTGACAAGTGCCTCAAAGCCAGGAACGGTAGTTTTATCTCCTGTCCCTAAGGAGCTCCAGCTTCCAGACCTAGCTAGTACTTGGTGTTGTTTCCCGAAGTGTATCTTCGAGATAATCAAACGCTCTGCCTAGGAACAGGAATAGCACAGGAATTTTCTGTTTTCCAGGCCACGAATACATAAAATGTGAAAGCCACATGTTCTGCAATAGGGTTTTTCCTAAAGAACCTGGTGTTGCACTCAAATTAAAAGCTTCCAACAGCCTATCTCCTGTTTCCCGAGAGTGTTGTGCTTAGGTGTTAAACGAGTGTTAATGCTTCGAATGTTCCCTGGACACTAAAGATGTCATTGTGAGTTTTAACTCATCAATTTGCACTTGCTGGGAGGCGCCGGGGCTCCTCCGCCTCCTCCCGCCCGGCCGGCCGGGCGCTG